ATATATATATATATATATATTGTGTCGTTGTGGGTCATAATTACATTAATAATAAAAAAAAATTGTGTGTAATTATAGGTTATAGTTACACTTTTTTTTTTTTGTGTTTGTGTCATTGTAGACCACAATTACATTTTTTTATTTTATTATCTTTTTTTAATGCTTGTGTGTTGTTGTGGATTGCACATATACTATTTTTTTTGTATGGTTGTGAGTCATAACTACACACTTTTTTATATTTTTCATTTTAAATTTTTTTAGAATAGTTTTTAAAAGAGAAACCAACTACAGGGTGAAATGCTTTTTATAAAAGGGTAAAAAATTATTTTTTTTTATTATTTGGAGTTGTGGCCCATTCTGATTGACAAAATGTGATAAATAAATAAAAAGGTTAACTAAGGTCAATGTAGCCAATAATAACTCCCAAAATTTCTTTTAAAACATTAATATCATGGGATACATTTTGATTGGTAGAATGTACGGCAAATAAAAAATAAGATCAAACCAGCATCATTGTAGTCCACAATAACCCTCTAAAAAAATTAAAGAGGTGTTATAGTTCATAATAATCCTCGTAAAAAAAAAAAAGAAGAAGGACATAGCCCACAACAACCCAAAAAATAAATTAATGGGAGATGCTATAATTCACAGCGATCTTAAAAATGGAAAAAAAAAATAATAATTTAAAAAAGCGTTGTAGTCCATAACAACATATATAGACTTTAACTAAAGTTGTTGTAGTTTACAATAACTTTTGTTAACTACAAAAAATAACAGATGTTACTAATATTATGTAGCTCACAACGATACTATTTAAAACAATTTTAATGGTGTAATATGTTTTAAAATAATTTTATTTATATAAAAAATTTGTAAGAGTCCTACAAGGATAAAAAGTCACAACTTACAAGCCTGCCACTTTAAAATACTGAATCATAAATTCATAATTGACCAATAATGTTATTTATTTTTGTATTTAATAAAATAGAAGAATAGATGATTGAAAATTTAAATATGTTTCATATTATAAGAAAAATATTAATGTTTATGCACAATAAAACTTATTAAATTTGTTTAAAACAGTAAAATTTATGGCTAGCATAATTTCCAATTTAAATTTTAAAAAATAAAGTATATCATTATTTAGTTTTATACCAAAATGAAATTATTTTGTACAACAACAACAAAAAACTTTGTCTCGTCAAGTAAAATCAAAATAAATTGCATTACATAAATCACACATCGGATTCTCCATTACAAAAGCAAATTATTTTGTACTAAAAAGAAAACTATTTGTTTTAGGCTAAAATGATTGGTTGTAAGTAGTAACTACATTTACAAAGGATGGGTGTAGAAGTAGAAGTTGTCTTTTACACTGCATGAAGTCAAATCAAAATTAATAATCTGAATTGGAACAAACAAAAGAGCGTTCAGAATAGAATGGTATCCTATTCCCTATTCGATAACCATAATAACCAAACACCCCTTGAAAAGTGGGCCCAGTCTTTAAATCTTGCGCAAACGAGGCCCATGCTACGTGGAAACTGAAACTGCCGTTACTGTGAACTGTCCCACACTACTTATCTGTAAGTCTACTAAAATTTAAGCAATTTATAAATCTAATTTAATATTGAAGTTGTTTATAATTAATTTTTATTAGAGATGCTCTAATGCCACTCTATATCATCTTTTTCTTCTTCTTGACTTGGATTTCTTGCTGATTTAGAATGTCCTATTTTTCTTATATTCTTGTTAAGTGAGATTATTATTAGTAAATACTAATAAATGCTAGTTCGATCGATAAAGAGCAAAGTCCTACCTTAAGAAAGTTGTTGGTAAAAAAATTTTGTTGGTGGGTAAAGATGGATCGGTAAGTATATTTTGATTAACTTAAAAATAGTTTTAGGAAAAAAATAAAAATAAAAAGATTTTTTAAAATTTAAAAATAACTTATATATAAGTTAATTTGTAAAAATTTTCTCATGTTAGATTTTTTAATGAAATTATAGCTGCTAAAATATGGTGTCAAAATGTTGTTTTAATTAATGTTTAAATACTTTTTTAGTCCATATAATTTTTGCTTATTTTTCTTTTGATTTTTATAGTTAATTTTTTTTCTTCTTTTCAGTTATTATATTTATTTTTTTTAAATATTTTTTAATCTCTATAATTTAAAATACTTGTAATTTTTTAATCATTTCAATATTTGTCACTAATTTTTTAACGATGTTGTCTCTTTCGTATAAATGTAATATAAATATTAATTCAATTTTATATATTTGATATCAAATGTATTTTATTAGAGTTATTCTAAATTAAATTTTACAACATTTCATGTCTCTTTTGTATCTGCTTTTGTGATGTTGGTTGTTGAGATACTATTTTTTTTTTACTTTCATAAAATTGAAGACCTCTATCTTGTCATTATAAAACATATAATATTACAAACAAAAAATAATGATAGAAACTAAAAAGATTAAAAAATTATAAGTATATGAACTAAAAAGATTTATCTTAAACTATATATACTAAAAAGTTGAAAAAAATAAATAAATAAATTAAAAATATTTATTTTAAACTATAGAGACTAAAAAAAATAAAACTATAGAGATTAAAAAAAATATTTTAACCTTTAGAATGTATTTGGATGGAGAATTTAAATGAAGTAATTTATTTATTTAAAAAAATTTAATATTTTTTGAGGTGAAATACTTTATTTAAATAGAGAATTCATAAAAAATTTAAAATTCAAACATTACTTAATTAATTTAGCTAAGTTAATATTGTCTAACTTAGTTGCAATTTTAAATTACGACGATATCATTAAACAAGCAGAATTTTACTATGAAATCTCACTAAACTAAGTTAAACGTAATTAACCAATGTCACTAACCAAGCCAAATTTAATTAAGCAATATTACTAAACTAACCAAATATTAATTATGCAATGTCATTCAACCAAGACATAGACCAAGTTTTGAGGGCTTTTAAACCAAGCTTTTCTAAGAGGTATTCTAACAAATCGTTCATTTGTGTCTATCTATGCAAATAACACCTAACTATCAATAATCAAACCAAAAAAAAAAAAATTGAAAACAAGCCAAAAATGTCACAATTAATAAACAACAAAAAGAAATTCAACCAAACAACAAAACATACCATCAAAACGAACTAAAAAAAAGGATTATGTGATTGCAAAACAAACTTGGGAGCAAGCAATAATGGAGGAAGAATGAGAGCACAAAATGCGTTCGTTAGTGTGAAAAGGAAAAAAGAGAAAATAGAACATATGAATTCGAAAATGGAGTCATAAGTGTTAATAACACACCATTCTACATTAGTTGTGTTTAATCATCAAAGAATATTCTTTTCTATACTAAATTTTTAGATTAAATTAATATTTATTCTTCTTTAATTATTTATTTAATATAATAAAATACTTAACTTGTTTATTTTAATTGATATTAAATATTTTGAGATATTCAAAAATATTTATTACCCATTAAATAATCTTCTTTGTATTTTTAATATTGAAAATTTTCAGTTTCTTCATTTTTATATTATAATTTATTTTTATTGACAATAAAGTAACTCCATTAATTTTCATTAAATATTTTTAATATGTTTTATATTTATAAATATTTGTGTAATATATGAGATATTTATTCAATGCAAAAGAAAAAAAAAATCCTATTTTTATGTCCAATTTTGAAGAGTTATAATTAATCGGAGATAATGCATAGAAAATCTTTAGAAAGCTATGTAAGGCAAAGATGAAAATGAAAGAAAGAGAAATATTTATTAATACTTTTTGTTGCTTAATGAGTATTTGGACTATTTGCACAAACAGCCATGAAACTGCGACATACTTGCCGACCACTCATATGCTAAACTAATTAATGCGGCATCAATTTTATCTTTTTTTTTATATGTGAAGATCTTTTTTATTTATTTATTTAATTTTTTTTATTATTATAATTTATAATAAAAGTAGTAGAACCCAAGATTCTGCCAAGGTGAAAATTTAAAGGATTTATTATGCATGCTTAAATAATAAATATAATTTTGGAAGAGTGGTAAAGTAGGTTTTTTTTTTATATATATATACTAATTCACTAAAAATGAGAACAGACAGTGAGACTTATCTGGTGATGGTAGGATAAAATTTTGTTCACTGTTTAAAGATAAGTTGGGGAGTTGACATGTCTAAAATTAACGAAAAAAAGTTTAATTTTTTAATACTAACTTAAATTAATAAATTAAGTTAAATGATTTAAATAATATCAATAATATACTACCATTAACTTAAAATAATGTTTTATTTAGAAAAATTAGCTATATTTTGAAACAAAAATTATAATTTATTATATTTATGTTTTTTCACTTAATGTTAGACTAACTTTTAGGCATGTAATATACACATCTTTTGTTGTCAATAATTGATTATATATTAATATGTAGTAAAATTTCAAACACGTTATACATTTGAAAAAAAAAGAGTAACAAGTCAACATATTCCACTAAGAATTCATCAAGTTGGTGAATTAAATGAAAAAGTTAGGACGATGGAGTTCATACTATCTCACTCATTTATTTTAATAA